TTCAGTTCTTTAATTTATTATTAATTATTGTTAAAACAAATATTAAATTAAATTAATTTCAAAAGCAATAAATTATAATTAAAATTAATAATAATTTATTAAATTTCTAGTCATTTTTTAATAATTCAATTTATTATTAATTATAATTAAAACTAAAAATAAATTAAATTTAATAAGTTTTTAAATTTTATTAATTCTTTAATTTGTTATTAATTAATATTAAAATTAATAATAATTTATTGAATTTTTAATCTTTAAATTATTTATTAATTTATCACTAATAAGTTATTTTTTAAAATTATCGTTCGCATATTAAAGAGATTGAAGCTTGTTTACATAAAAATTCAATAGAAATCCAATACTCAGTGAAAAGGTAGTTCTCCAAAAGAACCCTTTTCACCGTTTCAAATGTTTACCGTTCACTCACCGTGAGAAATAAAAATTGTCGTAAACTTCCGGTAGACGCAAAAACATTTGTAAGTAAATAATATTGGCGCAACTAAAAGTTTCCAGAAGAGAAAGGTAAACTGAAACGAAGGAAATGCTTGTAATATGATTCGTCGTTAGAATGGAATTTCTTTATGGAGCAATTGGCGGGAAAATTTCAACTAGCGGATTAAATCAATTTTTTAAATATAATATCCTTCTAGTATTTAGAGAGAAAAAATTATTTTTTACTTATTTTTATGAAAACATTCTAGTCTGTATGCATTAAAAGAGTGTTTTAAAGTATTTATGTTTAAATTGAGTTGCTAGATATCTTTTTATTTTCAGTCGCAGTTGCCACCCTATAATATCAAAATTTTGGGTGACCTTTGTTTCGCTTTAGTTAATTCACGGACTAAGAAACTATTAAGTTTTGTTTGTGTCAAAGAATAGAGTTTATGAATAAATAGAAATAAGTTTTTAAGAATAAGTGGTAGTTAATAGATATAATAAAATAATTTTTTGTCTGAGAAGGTAGATACTCTGCAGATAGAATAATATAAATCTATATTGTTAATATATTAGGCTGACTAAGATTTTTCAGCTTTTCTTAGATAAAATAAATAAGTGTACAACTATTTCCTTAAAAAATATCCTATATCTGACAACTTGTACGGTCGAAAATGAATATTTTGCTCAGTGGTATCAAGCAACATTTATGTTTCGATATCTTTATTGGCAAATAAATTTAAAAAGAAATTGCTTTCGTCCGATTAGTTAAATGACAATGCATCTGAGTGTTAGTTAGGCTTAGTTTTTAGAGTAATCTTTCTATTTCATTTATTTTAGGTTCATTTAAAAATTTTTTTTGCTACAATAGTACAAGTTTTTTAGCTTTGCTATCCTATGATATCCTATCCGATGTACCCAATTAAACAAGTGATTGATATCTATATTCTTTTTAATATGAACATATCTGTCAATTTTTGCACTTTTCGTGTCAGAATTTTTCTCGTGAAGAAAAATAACAAACTGAAACAAGAGCACAAAATTTTTAAAATTTTCGCGGTGCTTATAAAAATATTGCACAAATGTCTTTAATGTGTATATGAATTGCATCGTGCTGGTATTATCTATCTATCATCATCGTATCAGTTTCATTTCAAATCGAACTTATTAAACTAGGAAACAAACATTAAGCATAAACTTACTATAGCTTAAAAATTCTTCAGAAGAAAAAAAAAAGGTTACAGCAGCTGCGTAAAGGATGAGCAAGCGCTACCTTTAAAAACCCGCAAACTACCACTGATTATTTATTCAAAGAAACTCAGCATCAAAAATATCGTATAGATTCAAAAATAAAGTTTTTTCGTCAAACTACTAAGTTATAATCTCACTAAGAGCAAAAAACATTTGCAAATGTATTCGAATATTGAATCATATTACAACATCGAAGTAGCTTAACCTTTTCGGGACGGACAAGTTATAAATGTATTCGTACGGAATCACTATCAGGATAGTAAAAAATAAAAAGTGGTAGCTTAAGATTGGGCATAGCTGGTTTGACAGACTTATTTTTGCTCTCACTTTAAATCTATTGTAACACATCCGATCCTAGTGAGTTAAAACTGTAAGTATACAATTTTTAATTCGAACTAAGTATTGGTGAATTAAATAAAGCAAACTATTACTACCCCGCCCACAAATAAATTACTATAAAAAATAGTTTGGCTACCAGTTTTATCTTTTTTTACCCTGATTATCGACACCCTGAGAATGACTCTGCCGTCTCGAAGAGGTTTTAAACCAATAACCTATTGGCGAAATGCCAGTCTTTCTGCTAATAGAGTTTCTAATGGAAAATAATGGAGAAACTATTTAACTGGATTTATATAAATACTCAAACAAATAAATCTATGAAGCAAATTTAAATTGCTACCAGTTTTTGAAATAAATTATTTTTTAGTGATGTAACAATAAAAACATCAACTGCGGTTGAAATTAATATTTTTTTACTCTGGTAAGTTTCCCGTTGAATGTTTATAACTTCAATATAGAGTGAAAACGCTAGCACAAATAGGAATATTAAATAGAGAAAAATTAAAAATTCGTTGCAAGAGCTATTACAGCATGAAATTTTAAGAATCTTGGTTTCAGATCTTGAGAGATAGAAAGAAATAATTTTAAAACTAATCTTTGATGAGTAAAATTCAATTTCTACAATTATAGTGGTAGCTAACACAAATTGGTGTGCTCATAAATTAAATCTAAATTTCATAATCAATTTCTTCCTTAATACTCATTATTCACTTAGATATAATAAACGGGTTGAATGCCATATTTTTGGTAGATATGAAGGCGTTTAAATATTTTTATTTATTTCTATGAGACTGTCACGATTGGGATATTTTTAGTACTGAATTGAAATGCAAATTAAACTATTTTTTTTAAAGTTAAATAAACCTTAATAGGTGACAAATTAATGATCGAAATAAAGAATCCAGTTTTTTTGTTTTTAGAAATATAACAATGTTTACAAAAATTCTGTTAAAGATTTCCTTCATAACTTAATGAAAATAAAATCACATTAAATAGATTATTTTATACTAAGCGCTGTACATAAACTGTAATTATTTTCAAAAGAATATGATTTTTGTTAAAAATGATTTTTTTTTAAGGATATGAGAATGTTTTCCTCACCTTGCAAACATGTGAAAACATTAAAAATGCATAATGAAAATACAACTCGCCAACTTTATATTATCCCTCTGATCTGCCGATAATTTTCTATTCTTCCTATAATTGCCAATAATTTCCAGCAACGATTCATAAATTCAATTTGTAAACAAAAAGACAATTACTTCAAGAAATAAATGAATTAAAAGTGATTTTTAGAGAATTTTCGAGGTGGTTAAAAAATGCTTTCAAAATAAAAACTTGCAATTTTTTATCCTATTAAAAAAAAATTAACTCCTATGCAGTTGCGCCCAAACATAATTAGCGGGCATAATTAACAAAAGATCTTACATAACGTAACGCATTTCGACTTTCGAATTATTTGAAATTTTTAAAATCTCCGTGATTAACTAAGAAGACAGTGGATTTTGAATTGAGCTTTCCTAAATAAGTGATAAATATTTTGCAATTTGCTTATGATTAAAAAAAAAAAAAAAATCAAGATGCCAGATTCAGGAACAGAGAGGCCCAGCCAAATTTATACCTTGTATGTAAAAGTGGAAGAAATAAAAAAGTTGACAAATCGATTTTTTTTTTTTTGTTGCTATTATTGATTAAATTTTAGTCGGGATAAAGGTAATTTAAATACATTTTGTTTACATTCTCAATGAAAAAAAAAATGTTTTCTTATCACTAAACTTTAAGTGTGCAATTAGCAATATTAAATAGATTTTTTTTAATACGGAGAGGTGGTAAAAACCGCAATGTAGGAAAAAAAAGTTATAAATATTTTTCAAAAAAAAAAATAATAATAATTAAAAAAAAAAAAAAAAAAATTCTCGTGGCGAGTAAGTACACGTTAGTCGTCAGTATTTCATGAAAAATTAGTCAGGATATTCGTCAGTTTGCAAAGGTCAAACCCACAATTTATTTATCAAGCACATAAAAGCTACGATGTAAAGTTATTTACTATGTTTAAATATTCATTTCTCAGTAACATTAAGAGAAATGTAGACAACAGTTTCGCAAACAATGTCTGTAGTACCGACAGTGTCTGTCATACCGGCGATGTTTACAGTTCACGAGATCAAAGTAGCAATAATCAAATTTAATTGATAAAAAATATGTCGCTTATCCAAACGTTTAAATAATTACATTTTTTTTAACCCTGATGATAATCGAAACTGTTCAAGTGGACAAAGATCAAGGAAACAAAATGTTTTAATAAATTACTATTGACTAAAAATATTTATAAAATAAATATCTAGATGAACTGGATTTCTAAAACTGACTTGAAATTCGAGACGATAAAATTTACGTAAACCTAATATTTTTGTCACCACTTTTTAAGTTTTTCTAGATTGTGGGCCACCTGATAATAACGTATGTCCTAAACTTCCCCAGGTATTGTATTGAAGTTTAATACGGGCAGCAAAATTTTTACAAGATTTGTATTTAATAGGAAATATCCAACTTATTCGAAAAATGCTATAAGAATTTTCTGTTTGTGAACTTCGATTAGAAAAATTTGTAAACTATACGAATGCCGACTTGTTTGTGAAATCTACTCTAATAGTCGTACTAGTTGTTAACTACAAGAACAACTTTGTAAACTATAAGAATGACAACTTATTTGAGAACTACTATAAAAACAAATTTACAAACTGTAAGAATAGCGACTTATTTGTGAACTACTATTAGAATAACTTTGTGAACTATAAGGACAACTGGTTTGCAAACTACTATAAGAACAACTTGTTTGAGAACTACAATAAGAAGAACTTAAGAGAAATTTGAGAAAACCACGCAAATAAATCGTTCGCTACAGGAACAACTTCGTGAACTATTAGAATAACAAGTTATTTGGGAAGTACTGTAAGAATAATTTTATGACTGACCTTTGATGGATCCAGTGGATGTTTGAGGCTGAGCCACCTCCACCTTCCCGAAGCTGGTAGTACACCAAGACATTTGAAGCACCATTCGAATATTTCCGAGAAATTCACTTTATTTGTTTGTCTTAGATTAGAACACTTTACAAACACCAAACAATGAACCCGCGATGCAAAATCCCAGAGATGATGAGAGGATGCTAAATCGGGATGGTCCACAGGAAACCGTCCTCAAACTTTGTCACTCCAAAGTTTGCGAACTTTATCGTCTTTTACCCTGGCCCCATGCCATTAGAGCAGCCAAGTTTTAATCCAACACAGTACTTGGGATGCCGATAAAACACACGCGGAGGAAAAGAGTATAGATGTTCGATAAAAGCACTGTTTACAAGGAAGGAGTTAGGCTTAAAGGGACGTTGAGCCCGAATGAGAGGCATGCATACAGAATTTTAGGAGAAGTTGAGTATCCTATCCCACCTGTTTCGCTGGTTGTACCGTTATGTGGAGTGGGAAAAAGTCATACAACGAAGTTCGCGAGCAGGCTTAGGGCTGGTTTGCCTTCTCATTTCTCTTGCTTTACTTCCGCTACCGGGTTTGGGTGAAAGAGCGCCAAGATACCGTCGCCAAGCTCTCCTCCCTCTTTTACAGCTACGGAGTTGTTTGTTTACAGTTGCGGGCCATGCTCTTCGATGTCTTTTTTTTTTTATTTCTTTTATTCTTGGTGTGGGGGTTAGGGTGAGGTGAGCGCCGCATTATTTTTTTTCTTTTAAATTGCTAGGGTGGGGGTGTTGCTAGAGTTGCGATTCAGTTGTTGGAACGATTGTTCGAGCTGTGTTATTGTAGCATAAAAATTATGCGTGGATGAAACGTTTTGAAATAATAATGCAAATATTGTTGGAGAATTTAATGTACATTTTATTACAATAGAATATGATGAAAAGCACCCTTTTTATTTTTTATTAATCTTGATTGTTTTTAAAAATATATTTATTAAATTTATTTTAGTTGAAATATAGTAAATAAATAATTTATTTTAAATGAAAAATAATATCTTAAATTTGAAAAATAATATATTAAAATAATATTAAATATCTTATAATATTATTTAAACGCAAGATATTATTTTAATATTAGATAATATTTTAATAAAATGCTTTTAGGGCCATGATAAAAATTAAACAAGAATTATTAATGAATTTTAAACAAAGAATTAATTATAAATTTTAAACAAAGAATTGATTATAAATTTTAAGTAAAGAATTAATTATAAATTTTAAGTAAAAATTAATTATACATTTCAAGCAAAGAATTAATAATACATTTTAAACAAAGAATTAATTATGCATTTAAACAAAGAATTACATATAAATTTTAAACAAAGAATTTATAATAAATTTTAAACGAATTAATTATGAATTTTATGTAAAGAATTATTCATAAATAAGTCATTCATTGAAAATAGAGCGCTATGTTTCAAATATAATAAGATTTGTTTAACTCTGTATTTTAAAGCGTGATTTTTTTATAATATCTCATTATAGTTATAGTAGTATGTTGTTTCGATGTTAAAACTTTATTGTTACTCTTTTTTTTAAAAAATAATAATAATCGTTTTTATCAACTGCTTTCAATTAAATTACAAAATTGAAACTTTTATTATCAATTTTAAAGAGTATACTCTGAGCGCAATTGAACATTCTTCTTTTGAATGTCACCATAGAAAAAGTAATAAAAAATAAATAAACCAAAAATTAAAATCTGATTTTTTATTTCTCATAATTGCCGAATCATCTGGGTTCGCAGAATATTTTATTGCTATTTTTAATAAAACGGCCAAAAAATGTATACTTTAATATTTTTATATTTGTGTAACAAAGTTGACTCCTTATAATTTTGACCAACACTACTCATGAATTATTTGAATAAATCTATAAAAGAGTTATCAATATAAGTGTTTGAATTGCTAAAATAGTTCCTACTTACAACTGTAAAATCAATTTTTTAACTTTTTTTTTACTCTTCATACGCTCTAAAGAATCTTACCCAAAGACAACTTACTTAAGTGTAAAAAACAACAGGTAGGCTATTCTACTCGCTTTAAAAAAATTATTATCATAGCATATATAATTCAACTAAAATATTTATGCTCAACTCGAAGCAAATTAATTTTTGTGTCATATATACACAGAATTGCCAACTTGCTCACATTAAATAATTTAAATGATTTTTACACTTGCTACGCTGATTAAGCATCAGCTTCTGACGAAATCCTTCGCTACATTTTATATCAATAAGACAGATCAGGTGGTAGTAAGATATATACTATCATGCAACCATTTATGCAGAAAATATGATGTTTTCTAATGAAAATAACCTACTGTTTATTTAGCAAAATTAAAAAAAAAGTTGTGAAAGCTGTAGTTAGGAATTATCTGCTACTTTATAAAATATTTTGCAAAAAAAGCATAGTAGCTAGCAACTCTGACTATGCATGAACACTTGCCGGCCGATTAATTTTATTTTTATATTTAATATTATAGCAAAATTTATGCGTTTACATTTTATTCTTATTTGAACAAATCCGGTTCAAAATTATTTTGACTATCATTACATTTGTTGTTGTTTCTAATGCCACTTGCTTAGCAAGCCCTGCTTGGTGAAATCAAGAGAGTTTTAGGCAAGAGTACGTTTCTTGTTTCTCAGTGGCGCCATCTGTGGCAAAAAGTAGGACTTCAGCCACACACACGTCACAGCCCGTCTATGGGGCATACCATTCATTTATCCACAGATTGTAATTTTGACCTGAATCAGAGAACGATCAATCTCTAATTCAGTACCCTCAGAGGAATAATTTGTTATCGGAACAAAGAGGATTTTGTAACCCGACAGATTTAACGTACACCAGTCACCATTTACTAAAAGGCAAGTTTTCGGGTTGCGGGATTCGAACTCACGTTCGCACGAACGTGAATGCAGTGCCTTATCAACCAGGTTATCCCGGCCAGTAGTGACTAATAAATTGCAAAACTCTTTTAGAAGATATTAAAACTAGTTACTTTTTCTTGCATATTTTTTTTTGTTTACTATAAATTAAATATACAAGAAAATCTTTTATTTTATATATGAATAATTTGCTAAGTAAATCATGGCGGTAGTTACATTTAAATAATTAAGTAGATTTAATAAATAAAAAGGAATTGATCTACTACCTCTTACATTTTTAGTCATCCGTGGCATCGATGCAGTATATTAAGGATATAAATATCTATATTTGGATCTGAAGTCAAACATTTGAGGTTTTTGTGAAATATTTTTTCTAGTGTCAGTAGAATCAAGTATAAATCTATAAAATAAATGAAACTCTTAAAAAAAACTTTTGTTCTCAAAGTAAGAACATGACATGTCTATCTGACCTTTTATACATTTTTTTTAAAAAATTATTTACTAACTGTGGGGAAAAAAAGTATTTTTATTCTAATTTATTAAAACATTAATACATAACTTTTATTACCTCTTGAAAAAACATTTTCTGGAACTACTGAAATTTCATAGTATTTAGAGGGATTAGCTATAGTGCTTTTTGTAGTCAAAGCATCTTTTAAAAATCTTAAAGATAAGCAACTGAAAAATATATCCTCTTAGTATAAATAAATATCTACTAACTTTTTTTTCAATTAAGGTATCTAACTAGTTTGGACAACTTTTTTTTTAAATGCTAATATAAAATTCTAAAACACTAGTTTATTTCTTTTATTAAAACTTACATTATTAACTAGAAAAAAATTATCATTATTATTATTTTATTTTTATCTGGCCATTTTTAGGTAAAAATAAGGCTTTTTTTTAAATATACGCTAAACACTGTAAATAAACTTCTATCGCCTAAAGCAAAATATCCTTTGAGGATTTTACTTAGAAGGCTATCAACTATGTTTTGAACTATTATCTTAAAAACAAGGGCATTTACCACTGAGTTAGGGATCAATGTTGTTAAAAAAGTTAATTTGTTAAAAATTTCTTCTTTGCAAAATAGCACGAATAAAAATTGAAATTCTAGTTTTTCTCTTAGTCTGTAGTTCAAAACATGTGTGCCGTAATAATAAATATTCAGGAAAAATTATTGACAGTTAATTTAAATCAACATGAAATATCGTGTTTAAGGGGGGTGTAAAATGAGAAGAAAAAAAATCTGATTTTCAGATTAAACGCATTTAATGACTTGAAACCATTTATCTATTCACTGTTATCACCTTGCACAAAAACTGCTATATAAAAGAGTAGAAACAAAAGTAAAGTACTTTTAGAAAGATAAGAGTGCAGAGTTTATAAATTTATAATAAACTCAATTACGAAAATTTCGCTCAAGTATATTTGTAACACCTTAAGTATATTTTATTTTCAATTGTAAAAATTTAGTTGGCAGCTACATTACCGTACCTTACCTTTCAACATGTGAGGTTTTTACGAAATATTTTTTCCAGCGATAGTAAGCTGAAACAAAATTTTAAAAATGAATAAAAGTCTTATGAATTTTATATTAAAATATAAGAACATTTGCAAGGATGCAATGGTGACTATAATTCCATTATTTATTTAATCACTAATTGTAACTACCACTACAATTTACATTTCAAATTATATATATATATATATACCAACTTTCACTCTGTCCGAGAATAGATTTTCAGAGTGGTTGTAAAACAATAAACGAAAAACAATCTGACTCAAAAATATATTTATATTTTGATCCCGATGAAATTCGCTTGCGCAAGAATTATTATGCTTTCGTATATTTATTGTAATTATTTATATGTAGTGGTGGTCAAACTCATTTATAATTATCATTATAATTCAAAAAGTTAATTGGAATAACCCGAGTATTGCTACCACTTTAAATATGAAAATAAAATCTTCCGGAAGAGTTGGCAGTTATGTATATATATGAAAGACGAAAACAGTAAGTAATTAATATTGTACTTTGAGCTGTACAACACAGCATGCTACTCCAGCCGCCAACTGCCTTAATATCCTCCAATTACTTATGCCATTAGTAATAGTTGCCTTAGAGCAAAGTACAGATTTAGAGGTTTTGTGGATTTAGTATAGATTTAGAGGTTAGTAATAGCACTAACTCCTTAAAGATAAACATAAAGAAATACCGATATTATCATTAACTCCAATGATAATTAATTGATGATAATAAAATGATGATGATAATATCCAGTGATGATAATAAAATAATAAGCTATGTTCTAAAAGGCAAAATTAATGAAGAAATTGATTTATTTAAGAGCGCGTAAAAATTAACAAACTATTATAGACGTCAATGATGCTTAATTAATATTGGTAGTAGTTACTAACTGAAATTACAAAAAAAAACTATATACTGAAAAGCAAAATTAATTTTGAAAATGCACTTATTTGTTATGGAGAACAATAAAATGTCACCATATTATTATAGGCCCCAATGATGCTTAATTTTAGTTCTAAACACTACTGACATCATGAGAATTGATGCAGTTTCAATAGGTACCAAATATACTCTTATATAGGTACAAAGTACTT